GAGTTTTGCACATCACGTGCCTTCGATATATTATATCCATAAGTCGATTCTCAATGCACCGCAAAAGGTTGGTATGTTTAAGACGAGAAAATAATATTAACAAAAACGTGATTAATACTAATATTGTCATTAATTGTGACTGGGAACGAGGTAGTTTCTTACTGTGTGTTGTGCCAATGATCGTCATTGGACCAGGTACGGTGTACTTCACAGGGACACGTGACATATCCTAGTATGAAAACATAATAATAGTAATAATTATTAATAATCAGAATACATATACAAAATATTGTTAATCAACATTGATAATCGGAATTAAAATATTAATGATATACTGTGGGATACGGAATTTTCCTTTTAATTAGTCGCGTCTGTGTCACCTTAATAATGAACAAAACATAAACAATCAAACAAAACAAAACAACATATAATGTGGAAATGTTCATAAAGAACATGCATGTACATTTTTTAGGGGGGGGGTAAATATGGCTACATTAAATTTTGAAGCAGGAATAATCCGACATAATTGCTAAAGTAATAAATAAAATAAAATGCGAAGATAAAACAAAATAAAAATGAACAACAACATCATGTGGAATTATGACATAACTTTACAATTAAAATAGATTCCATTAATGCCGAGAAAAACGGATCCCATTATGAGTAAGTGAGTTATATATATATATATATTTAATGTATATCTGTGATCCAACGCTCAGTGACTGGGTATTCGTTAACATGCTACGACAGAGAAAGTCTGAATTTAGGAATGCGAAAGTTATCATTAGTAGGAATAACGTTAGGTATGTATGAAAAAGTGGAACAAGATCGTGGCTAATGTCAAGTTCAAAGTTATTATTGATTAAGTTAGTTAAAAGGCAGATGTGAAGAATGCAAAGCTCGTCTACACAATGCAAAAATAAGGTATCCGCAGATGGCGCTCTCTCGTGAGGTTATTTTGAAACTTAAATTATTAACTTATGTTAGTTGGCCGATCATAGCACTTTCTTACCTGAGACATTCTCCATTCTTTAGCGACCCAATCGTCTTCATTACATGGTTCTGATGGGAGAAATGCACCGAACGACATTACGTTGCAGGTGTAAACAATGCGGGTTTCGTCTATCAGGGGTTGTTATGGGTGGATGGTTCGTCAGGTTGAATATACGGGAAGTGGTTGTAACGGGGAATGGGTAACTCGCAAGGCAGTGAGTGGTACACTAGGATCGCTCGACACTTATACGCACCATTCAATCATAAGGACACCAGTAATATAGTATAGCCGGATATTTATTACAACTACAATCGTCACCATACGCCCCCGGTCCTCTTCTATCTTAATACGCTAGAACCCCCCATTTTTATAAACGACAGTGTCAATCGTTCAACCAACAGTCTAAATACTTTGCATGCGTTGTCATGACGGCATGTGGACTCCGCCAGTGAGGGCGTCGCCCCATAGCATCGTCATGACAACATCAATGCAACTTGGTGACACAGGTCACTGAATAAATCTATACTTAAAAAAAATAAAACTAGATAATCGTGGGTATGACACAGTTTAAGCCTATTTTTCTCCCATGAGACACGTTGTAGATTCGAATTTAGATTCAGTAGGATTAATTACAGATAAGGGGTAACTCACTTTCCCTGCACCAATATGTGTTAAAGAAGCCAGGCCCTTACGCCAATTATTTGAACAGGGGGAGGCTATCCTACGCGGCGCAGTATAAGTATATTATATATGTACATAAATTGTAAAGTTAGCAGGCTAATATCCCAAATGACTATGGAGGAGAGTACCCGTGGCTACATTTAAGTTATCCCTTGTCAATTAAAGTTTAAATACATACCAATTTTACCAACAATTCGGGGCAAGTAGGCTTTGTACGCATCATTACGGAGAGACTTCATAGCAGGGTTCTTGAAATCAAATCCTCTCATATGCCGACTGTTGGTTAATGCAGGTAAATGATTATTTTGAGTATTCGGTGACGGTGAGCGTTAAATGTGTCAGGGCACTCTGAAAGTATATGGCGTAATTTATTTCACATTCCAACTCAGTGTACACATTGTATTTTGTGGGTAAACTCTTTTAGGCATCGGTGTCAACTTTGTCCTATTGATATATTATTTTGAAGTGCAACTTAGGATATCTGGAAGGTACGATAAATTTTGAATATTTACCAAAAAAAGAAGATGTAGTTTTCTCTTCTCATTTCACCGTCAGTGATGACGTCAATACCCAGATCGGTTTGCTCATCTATAACATCTTTGATTGCTTTCTTCAGCAATTCTTCCAATTCTGAAAGTGAGATAAAATATTACAAACAAGCGTCTACCCATTATACCCAAATATAATGGGTAGACGCTTGTTTGTAAACAATGACACGCCATGGCCATCTGACGCATGCGCAGCTGATGACTCCCCCGCTATAAACTAGCTGAGCATTGATCTGGCAGTGATTGAGTGGCTATTGCACGTGACTTCGTATTTAATGTCGATGACAACATTCATTACACAGGTGAGGCACAATCCCTCTATCACAAATAGACATCGGTGGAAATATCCGATGTAGGCACAGTACATCGTATATAAATTTACAAACTAACTTTAAGGTGAGGTGTATTCTTATTTCGTTAGTGTGGGTTTGGCGTTACTGGTGTGGATAATTATAATTTCGAAATGACCTTATCGTCATCCAATCAGCAATCAGCCTCGGAGCAAAGAAGACGGTGGCACAAACTATAAAGACTGTGGTAAGCAGTTTGTCATTTATCTTCATTAAAACAAATCCAGCCAAAATGGGTCGAATGACAAGTATCTAAAATCTAAATTTCACCAGTCATTTTAGAACACAATTAAATTGATAGGAATGAAACACGTTTTAGCACGATTTTTAATACTAGAATGCACACATATCTAAATTTATTTTTACTAGATATCTGTGCTAATAATAACAATGGGCTAGTGCAATTATGCACAGAAACGTCTCGCACCTCAATGGTTTGTCCCTTAAAACGGGAATATTTTCTGATACTACAAATTAAAAAGTGTATACGCGACCAAAAATCTTATTCTTTTTTAATTTTGTTTAAATATAATCATTTTAGGGGGTTACATGTAATATATAACGTATTGGCTACGGTATATATCCAAGAGCGCGCTCAAGCGGTTATGTGCCGTAACCAACACGTGATCATTGGTTGTTTAATTTATACCATTGGTGTTTTCTAGTTCCCTCCTAGTGAACTGCGATTATATTAAATTATGTATTAAAAAGACAACCTACCATCGGCTGATATCTTCTCGCAGTACTCGGAGTAAGTGGACGGCACGAATTGATCGTGATGAGTCCGGAACCAGTCGGGAATCGGTAGATCTTCTGGTTTGGGGTAGCTGCCGATCACAGTGGTACGTAAGGGCATATTGATAACCTCAACAATCACTATATTGCACACCGCGGAAGTAATGATTGGACCAATCACGTGGTTGGCAGGTTCCCGGTCAGACTACGTAAGATTAGTAATTAGCATACAATGTGGCACGCTATGGTTCATATTCCGGGGTCATGTATGTAACCACGCTGTACGAATGGCATGAGAGCAACTGGCGAGATTACAACTATCAATAATTTACACTGGTGGACAGATTTAGCATGTTTTAAAATCAAGTACCCCGTGGTGAAATGTGACAGTTATTTGGGGCAAAGTACGCATTTATTTGAATAAGTATTCGTTGAAATGACCAAGAATAATGGCTTAACATGAATGATAGTACCCGCACTAAACAATAATATAACTATATATACCAACAGCTTATTTGATTTTTCGGTGATTTAATTTGTGCTTACGAACGCGGATATAGCGCGATTGCAGCACGACCGTTTGCGTAAAATTGCGATATCAGAAAGAAATCAAATCAATCTACCATTGTTATTTTAAACTTAATTTATTTTTCCTTGGGGATAAGACATATATATATATACCAGTCAAGCTATATAAATGACATTCAAATCTCTTCAATGATGTATTTTCGCCTTCTAGTTACGGTAATTAGGAAAGATAACTTATTCACAATTCATAAAAAGACGCACTATGTTGTGATTTACAAGAGCCACTGTGACAATACAAATTTCCTGAAATAGGCTATGTAACATTAATAGTGGGCGATGCTGGACGAAATGAAATTCAATACCGGTGAAAAAACAGAATTTCTGAAAATCTTTCAATAATACATAATAAAGTTTTGTTCGGCAAGAAACAATAGTGCCCATATTTGATCAAACTTATTACCCATTGTACCTCGACCAATCAGAATGTTCTATTACAGGACTGTTTATACACTAATCGAGTTTGAATATTTTGATCGTAAACATTGAATATTGCCTCTTTTCCATTTTTTTTAAAATACACATTTATCGAATATATCGTCAAACTTGATAACAAATATTTGTTAATGTTTCAATGTTATTATATTGTTTATGTTTCCGTAACTTGCATATATACTGGACCTAATAGTTATTGCACCATTCCACGTGGCTGTGCAGGATAACAGGTTTTCGCAAACTTCAACTTTAATTTATACTGATGAAAAATATACATCTGCAGCATATTATGGATGCATCATGGGCTTGTGCAGATTCGGGCATTGAACGTAGAGATTATTGGTGAATGGGTGGCGCCATCACCGACAAGCAATGTTTCATGAAAGATTGCGTACCGAAGTGAAGGTATTCGCCAATAACACTCGAGTTCCCGGCAGTTTCGTGTTTCCTGTAATAGTTTCGATACAAAACATATTAGGCCCATTAACTGGAGCCAAATTAAAAAAACAAAACAACAGTGAATATATGTTGTATTTAACCTGACATTATTTATATAAAGCTCGCGACAATCAGTCACGTTGTATTGGCCGATAGAGAATGGAGAATTCTATGACTGACGGATAGCAACTAGCGGATATTATGACTGACTGATACCTTTAACCCGGAACTAAAACAGCCTGAATGTTATTATTTATAGTTTACGATGCATTTTATTACACTTCTACACGCACTGGGGCGCACCGCTCGTCTGGTAGCCCCGAACACCATCCAGTGCAACGTGCCCCTCACCACTACTGTCATCGGTAGCTACCCGAAACCTGACTACCTCGGTATTCCGGATTGGTTTGACGGTCGTTCCTCGGCAGTCCATTATAATGCGTACCTGGCAAAACATACACCACGAGGTAACACTAGTTCTTAATTTTCCATATTTTGATTTTAGACTGAACACGTTTGGGTAATTAATTAACCGACCTCGTGTGAACAACGCGACAACAGCCTAAAGACGCGGGCATATATTAGATGTGTGTGTGTGTGTGGGGGGGGGGGTGCGCTCCACAGCCAATTTATGAATTGACCCAGACCCCGGAGTGGGGAAAGCGGTAGTCGGTGCTGCCATCACTTCCGGACTCCTACTCTTTTCCAAACATCCGAAATGTGTGAAAGGAATACCGCTTTTACGTAATTGCAATATTTTGTGTTCGTACAACGTAAATTGAAAAAAATAAATTCCGTAATTCTGTAATCACAGGCTAGACGTACAACGTAATCAATCAAATATTTGTTTCGTACACTGTGAAAATATATGATTTTTTCCGGTGCGTACAAGAATTTTCAAGGTATTCTTTTTTAATTTTCCGTCACGGTAAAATAACCGTTATTTTCTCTGTAAACTGTAAACATTCAATTTTCACTGTAAATTGTAAAAACGTCTTTTTTTCCTTGTAAATTGTAAAAAGCTGTACCAGCTACCCCCTTGCCCCCCTAAAATGTATAACCCTTCTCAGACAATGTTCTACATAAACAATTTTCTGCCAGAATTAGTCATTTTTAAAGATTGAACGATGCTTTTAATCAACTTTTGAGATTTATAATAATTACAGTATTAAATTCTGAAAGTGTAGACCTCTTGTCAGATACCCTTGCTAAAAAAAAAACATTTCAGACACTTCCTTTTAAAAAGGCACATGGCGGCACATACCCATATAGCGCCCCGCTCCGAACATCGACCAGTCCTAAAAATTGGGGATGATAACTTTCGCACATTACCTGATAATTCACCTTCAAAAGTTTGTTGCTTTTTGTCTTCTTCTTATTTTTTTTATTGTAAGTCCACACTGATTTAATTTTATGGATGACATCCTCTGAAGACCCCAAAACTAATGCGAGAGGGTAAAAAAAAATCCTGCCAAAAAAAAAATCCTGCTAAAACCAATGGACTACGGAGCTGTTATTACGAATTGAACGACAGTGTATCAAAACAACAACAAAAAGTCTTTATTTGTAGGAGGCACATGTTGATGTACACATCTCGTACTGTATTACTGTCACAGGTATCATCACCTTTGATTTTGAAAAGGCAAGAGAATAAAGCAGATGTTAGCTTTGCCAAAGGCATACACATCAACTCAATAATAAAGAAAAACTTACTGTGTTGTATTGAAAAAAAAAATTGAATTAAAAATGAACAATAAGGTGTCAATAGC